GGTGGGGGGCGGGGGCCGTGGAGTGGGCTCGGGGTCGGAAGAAGGATGAGTGGATTAAAGAAAAGAAAAACAACCCGTCACTTAGGATGGGCCTCGAGCTGGGGCGGGTGCCCGGGCATCGGTGGGAAAGGTCGGAGCAGCTACCGCGCAGCTGGGCGGCCTGGCGGCCACCGGGCCAACCCCGGGGAGGGCAGCCTGGCCTCTGGCCTCGGCGAGCCGGCGTGGGCCCGCAGTGCCGGGGAGCGGGGCTTACAGATGGCGGCAGGGTGCGCGGCGGCGGCGGAGGTGCAGCGGCAGGGGCGAGGCCGGGCGGAGGCCCCGCGGGAGCCGGACTCCCGAGCCGGGCTCCATTGTTGTTGGAGCTGAGGGAAGGGGGAGCAAAACAGCTTTAGAAACCCGTGAAGCCGCGCCTTGGAGCCTTTCCAGGCGGGTCCGCGGAGAGGCGGTAATGGCCGCGCCGTGGGATCAGGGAGCCAGGCTGTGTCGCGGAGAAGCTTGGCTGCATGATGTGATGTGTTTTTTTTTTAGAGCGCCTCGCGTCCCAGCAGAGCCAGCCGAGCATCCTACTCAGGTGATGAGGAACCCTCCTGGCACCCAGCGCAGATCGCTGCTGCCGCTGGACGCCTCCATTGTTTGACCATAACAAGGGCCGGATTCTCACCCAGGTAAACTGGATGGCAGCGCCGTCGAGCTCCCTCTCACCTCCCACATCCAAAGGAACCTCCTCTCCTCTTTCAGGACTTTACTCCAGTTTTCTTCCTGTGCCCTGCTTCTGATTAACTCAACATATCCACCTCCCAGACATTTCCCCATCTGGCTTAATCTTCCCGCATCTCTCTGCCAAGTCACCTCTCATTTCCCTCAAAACTCAGCTCCTTTGTGAAACCTTCCTTGCCGAACTCTAACAACTAAATCTCTCTAGGAGGAGCCTGTTCCGGACTTTTCTAGTTGATAGTTGATTGGTTGTCTTATTGCAACAAAGGAGACTAGATGTTTTTTAAAAATTCTGAGCTATTGTTTTTTTTTTTTAAAGGAACGTTTTGTGATAGTTGATTGTTTTAAAAGGATCGAACTGTTTTTCTTTCTATATTGTGCCCTTTTTTTGGGGGGGGGGCCCTACTTCCTTGGTAGATGCACAGCTTTTTTGAACAGAAAAATGACCTTCTTGTTCAACCCACAGGTTAATTTAAATTTTAAAAATTAGTTTTAAATTAGCAAAGTAAAGCATTTTCTTTGTAAAAATTAAAACATTACAGAGATGGGCTAAAGTCTTTGACTACAAATCTCTGTCCCCAGAGATAACAACTATTATGTTTGGTGTGTATCCTTCTAGATCTTTAAAAATGTTTTTACGATCTAAAAAATGTGTGTAATTGTATTATCTTTGACTGTTTTAACAAGTACAGGTGTACTCTAGCTTTCAGTTTTAGCATATGATGCATTCACTCATTTTGCAGAACTGCTGCATCATGTTCCATAGTTTGAGTACACCATAGTTTATTTAGCCATTTCCTGGATTGATGGCAATTGATGTTTTAACTTTATACTTCAACAGCTTCTTTGGTTGTCGTTCTCTAGTGAAATGAAATTTTAGTGAAGGGAGCACAACTCTACACTAATTACAGAGCCTAAGCTTTTATGATGGAAGTTCTCTTTGGTTCAGAAATTTACATGTAGGAGCCTCCACCCCTCCCCCCGTTGTAATTGTGACTCTACTACGTTCAAGTCCTGTGACCTTGGGGAGGACATTTAATTACTCCAAGCCTCAGTTTTCTTTTCTACAAATGGTGTTAATACCTCCTCTGTCCCACCAAGTTCAGTCATATGATGTATGTGAAAGCCTTTGTAGAGTGTGAAGTGGTATATAGTGTTGATTTTATTGGCCTTTGTGATCTGAAGGAATTTTTAATTTACAATATAATTTATATTTTCTTTTTTGACCAGATATGTATATTACAGAATACTACAGATAGCCAGCTTTGAATGCTGTTTAATTTCTGATTTTGTTATATTTTTTTACCAAGTACTGTTAATACATTAGACTTCTGAAAGAGTATTTTACAAAGCACATTTTCATAGTGCTTTACACTCCTTAAAAATAAGGCATAAAAATTAGTTGCCTGAGAATAAAGTATCAGCAACTTGATCACTGCATTAAAACTCTCATAATATGTAAACAGAACTTACTTCCTAGTGATGTAAATTTGTGTATGTGTTTTTCTGAAGCAGCAGCAGATTCAGGTTAGTTTTTTTTTTTTTTTTTTTTTTTTTTTTTGCGATACGCGGGCCTCTCACCGTTGTGGCCTCTCCCGTTGCGGAGCACGGGCTCCGGACGCGCAGGCCCAGCGGCCATGGCTCACGGGCCCAGCCGCTCCGCGGCACGTGGGATCCTCCCAGACCGGGGCACGAACCCGCGTCCCCTGCATCGGCAGGCGGACTCTCAACCACTGCGCCACCAGGGAAGCCCCTCAGGTTAGTTTTTATGTCCTTTGAGTAAAATGGATTCTTACGGAGTTTGCAGGCAGTATCAGAGTTTTAACGGTAAATATTTATTGAATAATGTGATGGGTATCGTTTTAAGATGTAAGAGATACCATTAGGGGCTTTGTAGGTGTTTTTCTTTCATTCATATACGCATGAATGTCTGTAGTGTGGCCAGCAAAATCAACTTGACCCTGTTCTCCTGTAATTGATCTATGGGGGGAGAGGAGATCAGAAATTAAACACAATCGCGCAGCCGCACGTAGAATCTGCTAGGAAAGTGTCTGCTAGGAAGGTGAAGGAGCATTGGCTATAAGAGAGTATAAAGGGGCCAGATTGCAGATTGCAGAAAGAGGGCCCAGGAAAGACTCTTTTGCAAAAATAAGATTTGAGCTGAGATCTCAAGGGTGAGTAGGCGTCAGTGTAGAATGAGATGGGGGATAATTTTCCAGGCAGAGGAACAGCCTGTAGGAAGGCCCAGAAGAGGGGAAGCTTTGCCCATTCTGGGAACTGAAAGAATGACGTGTGGATAGATTATGGTGGGTGAGGGGCGAGTGTGGCTAGGCAGGGGCCAGATCGGGTAGGGTCTTGTAGGGCAGGTTAAGGATGTTTTATTTCACCCTGAGTGAAATGGGAAACCATTACAAGGGTTCGGTTTTAAGTAGGGGAGTGACATAATCAGATGTGCATGTTTAAACAACCACTCCAGCAGCTGCGTGCAGAATGTAGGGGTGGAGAGTCGAAGTGGGGGAGGCCAGGTAGGCCATTTCAGAGGCCTTTCTAGAAGAGAAGTGGTCTTTCCCGTCCAGTTCACGTTGACTTTAAGCTACCAGCTAAACTAAGGTCAAGATAGGTATTTGATTTTAAAAATAAATAATTGATTTTAAAAATAAATAAGTCTTTATTTCTAAAAAGTAGGCATAAAAATGCACTTTTTTAATGCGAAAGGCACACATATGTTAAAGTAATTATTCATACTATGCTTAACAGAAAAGTATCAGAGTCAAATTAAAATTGGGGGTATTTAACATGTTTTTGGTAAGTTTTGTCAGAGCAGGAATACATGAAATAAGACTGAGGTGAGGCTCTAAAATGAAAAGAAGGGAAATATTTGTAGATGCTATTGGCTTAAAAAAATGAGAGTAACAGAAAAAACATTAGACAAAAAAATCTAGAAAGTGACTGGGCGCACAATGTGTATATAAAATTCATAGCTTTCTGAATACTAAAGATAACCTGGCAGAAACTAAATGGAAAAACAACCAAAACAGCAGGCTCTGATCACAATGCAACAAAAAACAAGAAACAGGTAAGCACAGCCTCATCGAGACAAGTGCGGTCTGCCTGGAGGAGACCAGAAAGTATCCTGAAAGATAAGACAGAATGTCTTAAACAGAAGGACAGGCCGTATTCCTGGATGTGATGTTTAAACGTTATAGAGATGCCCTTTTTTCGGTGAACTGGACAGAATAGTGAGTAATGAGGTGGGACAAACCCTGTCTGATTGTTTAAACATATTGTAGAATCATGTTTGTTCTGTACAGGTCACTGGAACCTATTCAGCACCCCAGAGATAAACTGTATATGGGAATGTAATAAATGACAAACCATCGTGAATGCCCTTCAAATCAGGAAGAAGATATGGAAGTAAATATTAAACATCTGGAAAAAGGAGTTATGCACGCTGAGGTGGACAGAGCACAGGCTTTGCAGTCAGACAGACTTGAACTGGATTATTTTAAGTGAGGAAAGTAATACCCACCGTGCAGCTTTTGTGAGAGAGAGATACAGGTCTTCGCACCTATGGGGCACTCAAATCTGTTGCTAGTTAAAATCAATGTATTAGATTATGTACACATTTAAAACTTCTTTAAGAAGAAAGAGAAAACAAAACCCTAGGATCAAAAACTAAACCACTAAAGTAGGAAAATATTTATGACAAAAATAAGTGAAGAGTTAATATCTTCAACATGCAAAGAACTCACACAAATCAATGAGGAAAATCATGAAAATCCACACATGCTTGCAGGATGTGGATAGTTCACTGGATAGAAATATAATTTGTTCAGCATTTGGAAAGGTGTGTAATCTCACTCATAATCAAATAATTTGTAATTACTCCTATAGAAAAGTAAAATTCTATTCTCAGTAGCAACAAAGCCAGAACACATTTAAGAGTAAAACACAAATGTACAAGAGCTTTATGAAAAAAGTAAAAACCTTTACCTGAAGAATTTAAAAGCTAACCTAAATAAATGGGCAGACATTACATGTTTCTGGAAGGGACGGCATCTTTGTAAAGATTGCAATACTCGGGCTTCCCTGGTGGCGCAGTGCTTGAGAATCCGCCTGCCGATGCAGGAGACGCGGGTTCGTGCCCCGTTTCGGGAAGATCCCACATGCCGCGGAGCGGCTGGGCCCGTGAGCCATGGTCACTGAGCCTGCGCGTCCGGAGCCTGTGCTCCGCAAATGGGAGAGGCCAAAAAAAAAAAAAAAAAAAAAAAAAAAAAAAAGATTGCAATACTCTACAAATTAAACTGTAACTTCAGTGTTATTCCAGTTGAAATCCCAGTGAGACTTATTTCTGGACACTTGATAAATTGCTTCTAAAATTTGTCCAGAGGACTAAATGTGCTAGAGTGGCCAAGAAGTTTTTCAAGCGGAAAAATAGTGATGAACGATTTGCTATGCCAGATATCAAAACATACTGTAATGGTACAGTAATGTAAATGGTGAGCACAAGAATAGACAAGCTGGTACATGGACAAGTAGAATCCAGTAATAGACCCATATATATATATATATATAGGAATTTATTATATAATAAAGTTGGTATTTTGAAACAGTTGGGCAATGGTTGTTTGATGCATTGTATAGGGAAAAATGACTATTTGGAAAGAAAGATTCTACTTCCCCGTATTCAAAAATGACTTTTATTTGAATTAAAGAACTAACTCAAAGACCAAAACACCTATAAAAGTACTAGGAGAAAATATAAGAATTTATTATGTTGGAGGATGTATTATGTTGGGAAAAATGTTTTTGGGGTCCACCATTTAGGTAAGACCAAGGCCCCAAATCATAAAAGAATGATAAGTTGGAACATCATCAAAGCTGATATTCCTGTGTGACAAAAAAACATCACAAGGTGACAGACTGGGGAAAAAGTTTTGGTAACATGTAT